GACTTGAAGAAAAACGATTAGCTAATCAAACCGCCAATAGTGTTTTAGGAAAAAGAATCAATTCATCGTCTTTTCGTGTCCAATGCTTGAAATGCAGAAAAAAAAAAAAAAAAAAAAAAAAAAAAAAAAAAAAAAAAAAAAAAAAATCGCGGACGAGGTATTGAAAAATGAAGGGAGAAATATCATTTAGCGAAGATTTTTATTAAGATATCGGTAGCTTAAAAATGATCACGGAAATCATGCATTGCGCGCCTAGCCATCACCTAGTAGTTTGATTTGGGTTTACTGTGTCAGAGTGAACTTCTGACTGTGTCGAATCATCCCGTATCTTTTGTGAATCCCGTTGCTTGTCTGTTGACAACAGAGCGTTTTAATTAAAGTTTGATGGGTTTCCTGTGTCTAATCATCCCGTATCCCTCGGGAATCCTGTTCTTATTGCACAGCATGCTGGGTGAATAGCCTCACTTGGTCCACGTCAACATTGGCGGCCATCTTGAATAGAATAAAGTAAATTTCAACATGGGAGCAGGAACATCTACGGAAATCCCTGGAGGTGGAAGCGAAGGATACCACGTTCTACGAGTCAGTTGATATCATTACATTCATCCTCTTTTGAAATATATTTTTTGTGATTTTGACATCGTTATTTGATCAATGTTCTCCTGATAAACAGACTTGACCGACCAGACGTGTAGCTGATCCAAACTTTTAAGCTTATATAAGCTAATTTATTACTAATAATTTTGAACTTCTCGACTTGCTTTAGGTTCAAGAAAATTCCCCTGGATATAAAGCTGGTCTGGAGCCATTTTTCGATTTTATCGTATCAATAGAAAATACTCGATTGGTAAGTTGTGTTGAGTGTGTCTGCAATTCATACGTGGACTAGATATAATTAGTCAAATGAAGTACCTAGATACCTGCATAGTTGCTCTTTGTTAGAAAGTAAAGCTGTTTTGGAGTGTCGCATGAGTAATGTTCAAGGAAGAAAATATTGTAGAGGTTAGACTAAGAGACACATACTACATGTACGTGTAAGCTATTTCTGTGTTATTCTCTGACTTTCATGTAGTTTTACCCTCTAATATTACATGTGATTTATTACTGGTTGTGGTCAAATTAATGCATTATGTTTTGATCTCTAGGATCAGGATAATGAATCTCTCAAGGAAATATTAAAGAGTAATGCAGAAAAACCAGTGAAAATGTTGGTATATAGCAGCAAGACCCTCAAAGTCAGAGGTAAGGCCTTGCTAGTAGATAAGTCCTCTTGCTTTAAATAAAGTGCATTACAGGATTGGATGATAAGTGAGAAGACTAGCCTGTAATTTGTGATGTTGAACATGGTATCCCTGAAGATGGCCACCAAAAACAGTAGACCCTGCCAACTACATTCTCTGTTTTATTTATTCAGAAGAGTTAGAAAAAGTTCTTCTCTTGTGTATTATTCTTTGTTCATATATTTTATGTGACAGAGCAGAAGCACCATTTTTTGCCTATTGTTATTGTTAAGGACTTCTATTCTTTTTTAAGCTCAATATTTTGTAAACATGCTCTTTTGGGGCCAAAGAACAAAATATCAAAATTTAGTGAATGTGATGCATTGTGCTTTGGGAGAGGTGATATTTTGATCAGTAGAAAACTCGCAACAGTGAAGAAAGAAATGAAAGGCTTATAGTTTTGGCATATAGGTTCCAGTTAATATAAGAATCATGAAAGTAGCGGCCTTGTTGTTTTTCTGCTCTGCCATTATTCATGCTGAACTACTACACCATTTAATACCAAGAGATAAAGGCTGATTCAAAGACTTAGTAATATGTGTTTTATAACTCACTGGCAAATGTACTACCACTGACTCCACTCACTAACTGTAAAATTCATGAATAGTTATTGAGGGCCTAAGCCAATCCAGCTTTAGAAATCAGGTCACATGAATATCATGTGAACCCGATACAAACCTTACAATGAAAATGCTAATTAGATATAACCACTGGTGGATGTATACTGTTCTGATACAACACTAGTTGTTGTATCTAATTAGCATATGAATTCAAAATGTCCAAAGGAGTTATGAATTATTCACGGCAATTCACAAGTTGTTTACAATATTTGAATCCGTGTTGTATCGGCCATACAATTGTATAGCCGATACAACACAGCCACTCATATCGCAGACATTACTTATAAACACACATCCATCACTCAACTAACAGGGTGAAAAAATAGAAAACCTGGAAGAACAAAACCCTCATAACAAGGGAGAGAAAACACATCAAACAAACTCCACTCGCATGTGGCTCAGTCGTATATCAAACCTGTAACCCCAGGTGCAAACTTCATACATAGTTGGGAGAGTTAGCACCATACATGTAGCAGTGCATGGGGCTCAGTCGTATATCAAACCTGTAACCCCAAGAGCAAACTACATACATAGTGGGGAGAATCAGCACCATACATGTAGCAGCCCATGTGGCTCAGTCATATATCAAACCTGTAACCCCAGGTGCAAACTACATACATAGTGGGGAGAATCAGCACCATACATGTAGCACACATACTACTTACATTATATTTGTATTAATGTTTAACGGTCTACAAGGAAAGGCTGTTTTTGTTTACTTCGTATTTTATACCAATGTTTTTTAATTTTCCATTTAGAGGTCAGTATTACACCCAGTAATATGTGGGGTGGACAAGGTCTACTAGGTAAGTCTAGTGGGAGAAATGTGATAATTACCCATAAAATGGATATTCTTATAATATAATGAAGATACAGTATATTAGAGTTGTACTGTATAATTACAGTAAAGTGATAAGTATTTAACAAATGAATATTTGCTGAGAGAAATTTTTTTAGTATATGTGCAATGTTATTTTAGACTAGAATATCAAATAGGAGACCACATTCAGGGTAGAAAAAAAAAACATTCATTACTGACTTCTGCTTAGATGATCAGCAAGTAGTCAGTTTGTAAGATAAGGTAAATATACATGGTATAATCTGGTGCATAAGGTGTACAATGATTGTCTTTTCACCAGGTGTGAGCATACGGTTCTGTTCATTTGATGGTGCAAATGAAAATGTCTGGCACGTCTTGGTAAGTAACCAGTCTTTATATGATAAATGTTAACAATGCATATTATTATCAGGTCTAAAATTACAGCTAGCCAAATTAGCCAAATTAGTTTTAGGTATGTGTCATACCTTGTTTCTGGCTCAATTTTACTGGTCAAAATGACCAGCAAGGCAAAGGTATAATACCTGGCAAGTTCCAATTCCGTCCAAACATTGTCCATTGACTGGTTGATATTTTTGATCCTGATTATGCCCAAGCTTTGCTGGTTATATGAAGGTGCATGTTTCTTTGTGATTTCATCTACTGTAGTAAGGCAAAAAGACTTGCTTTATGCATAAGTATATATCAGTGCATTTAGAGGAGTCATATTATACATCTGGCCTGGTAAATCCTTATTCAGTGGATAAGCTGATGCTGTCATCCAATAAATTTATGGACTGGATAAAATTTATCCATTGGATAGTGCTATCCACCCTGCATGGCATGATACTGCATGGCAGACTGATGAATGAATCTGTAGTTGTTATATTCTATATTTATTTGTATATGTTATGTTATATATTTGATTAGGATGTTCAACCCAACTCACCAGCAGACATTGCAGGATTAAGATCCAACACTGATTATATTATTGGTGCTGATTCTGTGTTGCATGAGGTAAGATATCTTATTATTGTGACATTGCAACCGCTTGACTGTAAATGAAAAAAAAAAAAAACAAAAAAAAAACACCTACTAGGAGGTCTAGAACGCAAGACACAGGTTTTTGAGTGTAGAGTGAATTAGATTTTTTAGATTTTTAATGTACAAATCACACTCTTAGAAGCTTAGTAGTTTGCTTTTTGATTTAAATAATGTAACTTTCAAGATGTTGATTGATTCAAATTCTCAATCTGTTGATTGTGATGATACATGAACAGTATGTGATATACATGGGAAGCACGGGTGGCATGCCCTGCTAATGAGCCGCCTCTCACCAATGCAGCCTGAGTTCGAGTCCTGCTGATCTCGATGTCGTTTGTGAGTAGAGTTGTTTGTTGGTTCTCTCCTGTGCTTTGAGGGTTTTTCTCCGGTTCCAGTTTTACTCCCTCCTCAAAAATCAACTTCTAAATTCTAATTCGATCTTTGGGCTTTCACCTAGTTTGGAGCCTAGCTCTGTTGTGATTGTTCCACGCTGTGATACAACAGCTAAAGCTTAATAGATTTTAAAAAATAGATGTGTATATAACATGTAGGTTTCATTTTTCTGTTTTTTAATTTTCAGTCGGATGATCTGTTCCAGTTGATAGAATCACACGAAGGAAAGGCTCTTAAACTTTATGTCTACAATTCAGAGACTGATGGTTGTAGAGAGGTGAGTATTTTCTTACCTAGGTAGTTCTCCACTTAATTATCACAATAAAGCTGCAATTGAACATTTGTGTTTTTTGAAGGTGACACTGACACCAAACAGTAACTGGGGAGGTGAAGGAAGGTATGTAAGACTATTTGAATGCAAACTGTAAATGAAATTAAAGTAGTATCATGACTCTCCTATAAGTTTGATTGGGAGAAATCTGTCAATATTAGTATAAATGTCTCGTGTTGTTACATATATATCAGTCTTGGATGTGGTATACTGTAGGATATGGTATTAACTAATGTCTTGTGTTGTTACATATATATCAGTCTTGGATGTGGTATAGGATATGGTATTAACTAATATCTTGTGTCGTTACATATATATCAGTCTTGGATGTGGTATAGGATATGGATATTTACATAGAATACCACAAAAAGATGAGGAATCTCTTCCACCAGTATCTGCCTCACCTCCTGCACCATCAAGTGATGGCTTCTCAGAGGTTAGTGTTTAATCTTATAAACACACATGTAATGTCATATGAATCAAACAAGAAGTCTAAACCTTTTATGATTCAAGATCAATAAGCCTATTATTTAACACATGCCATTTTTTAAAGCATTTCATGCACTTATGGTTATGTGAGATAATCAAGGGTAGGTCTGCTCTCTACTGTACTCCTCTGTCTACCCCCATAAAGTAACTGCAGCTACATGTAAATTAAGGGATTTCAGGTAAAGGTACCAGCCCAGTGGCATAGCAAGGGAGGGCAAGGGTGAGGGCACGTTCTCAATTTTAACTAAACCTGTTGATATCGTGGGTTACGGTTAGGGTTAGGAAATCTAAAGTTTCAGGGTATTGGCAGGAAAAGGATACATTCTGTCCACTCTATGGCCAAGACCTCCCTATGCGGCCTCTGTCTGAGCCATTACTGGTTTCTCTATTGGCACCACTAAAGAAGCATACCATGCAGTGTTGTTTCTTATGTCATATTCATTATTTTGCAGGTTCCATTGGTTGGAGTTACTACAGCAACAACTACTCCACAACATACAGGTAAGGGTAAGGACTAGTGGTTAGTGTACTGTGACAAGTGTGTATACAATGTACCTACAGTACATGTGTCATGTTCAAGAGTCATATCTACACTTTACGTGAAGGGTACTGCATGCCAAGTAAAGCATAGATATTGAATAACGAAACATTATTTTCCATTTAGTTCTAGATCAAGGGATGGCATCTTTGAACCTTGAATCAAGTACAGCCAGTGCAGCAATGAATCCATTTAATACAAGCCTCAGTACTCCAACAACAGTAGAATCAGCATCTGTATCTAGTGCACCAGCATTAGTCAACTCTTCGACTCAGCCGGCACCTGCTCCAGTGCCGCTATACCACTCACCACCTCTTGTTCCGACCCTTGTTGGGGAAACACCCGCTAAAAGTGAAGTATCTACACCACCAGCCCCATCAGCTGTACCCCTGTATAACACACCTATGATGTCTGCTTCTACCCCTCCTCAACTATATACTGCCCCAGGTGTGCAGGCACCATCTCCCGTCAATCCTTATGCCTTTCCACCACAATCAACTGCAGCGACAAATATCTCTCCCTTTGCTACACCAGATGTAAAATACTCTACACCCGGTGGTAGTAGTAGTACAGTTACTGCCACTCCATCCCAACTACTCACTGATATTACAGTAGGAGCTAAGCCAGCACCATTAATCCCTGGGACGTCTGCTGTCAATGGTGATGAAGCTGCAGTATTACAACCAACATCATCCCCTCAAATCCTTGCATCGTAATTTAAAAGATAATGTTTTACATTTAATGTCTGTAAAATAAGATAGAATAGGTGTAGGAGTTGTTTCTGTCTCAGTTTACTATCAAGATATTCCTCTGTATTACTGATGAGAATACATTTTTATGCATGTGTTTGAAAGAGAAAGATGAAATATTAGATAATACCAGCCATGTGTTCTGTCAAGCAGGGATTTCAGAGTGTTGCGTATAAAGGATTGCATCAATAGCCAGAAGTTATGTTTTTGGTTTAACCCAAACAGTTAATAACAAATGCATATTGGCAAGGGTAGCAGAAAAACCTCACACATGAAGTCTTCTCTTCGCTTAACTGTTAGGGGCTCTAGTATTAATTCATTTGCAAATGATATATTATTGCATTTAAAAATATATATAATAGAAACTGAAAAAGAAATCTAATAAACTGAATTCGTTATTCTAATGAGGTCTTGAATCAGTCTGTGCAGAGAGTATTACTCACTTTTAAAACAACTAGATCCATCCAGATCAGTCTTCGTTTCTTGATGGAAACTCATTCCCAAGGAATGAAATTACTAAAGACACCCCGGGCACGTTTTTTGATACGATAAGAGAGACCCCTTGCATGATGTGACGCCAAAACAGCTCGATTTGGAACACACACACAMAAAAAAAAAACAATAGAATTTCAATCTCGTGAGAATCGGAAACCTATTGTTGTGTCCTTCGAATTGAGCTGCATCCTAACGTGCTGCAAGGGGTTTATAGAAGGAACTCGTGTTTGGTAACATGCTTGATGTATGCACTGCGCATGCTCATGATGTGATTTACAATAACCGTAGTAACCGACTTGGTAACGCTATGCAAGCATTATACACCCCCTCCATTGTATCCCACAGATAACCTAACTCAGTCTGTGTCCTATTCTGATGTAAATTTTTGATTAAAGTGCTTATGCCACCTAACTTAATATTTTCAGTATTGATTCCACATAAAGTGAATATTTGAATGGTAAAAGAATTTCATATGATTTGAGTGATGCTTCTTGAAGATATCAATATGCTAATGAGTGTGATGTCATTTTAGGAAGTTGAGTTTGCTTCTCATCGTTTTTAAATTGCCGCTACTGACAACGAGCTTCAGATTATATATCTTGGTGCATCTATAAAAATAACGCGATAAGTGGACACATTGCTTCGCGTTGTTCGTCAAACTTTTTCAAAAGGCGCCAATTAAAAATTCATTAAAACTGGCAGAGCAGGTGGAATACTTGTACATTATTTTCCTATCAATCTCAGTTCCCGGCAGAAGAGTGAAATTAGGTCATATTTTTATATTGATTAGAACTGCCGAGCCGATCGAAGTCTAATGGAACGAGAATCGAATCATTGAAACAAATAATGACTGTCCCGTGGTCATACAAAATGGAGGTATGATATGAACTAGATCAGTTTACAGTCAGCTGATTTCAAATTTGTTTGCGGTTCAAGACTTAATGTCACTATCTCTGATTATTGCAGCTATTTTGGTATGCTTTTTCGCTGTTCTGTTCAGCATTACAAGGTAAATATTCAAACATTCACAATCAAATGAAGGAATAACTCTGGTCCGTTCTAACATGATCTTGTATCGAAATAATTCAGATAAAATATCAAAGCAATTTCCCCCCTCTTTACTGTTTTAAGGGATCAAAGCATGGGTGTGTAGAGCGGTGAGAGGGCTCGCCTCTCATCAATGCAACCCGGGTTGGGTATTGTATGTGAGTAGAGCTGGCTGGTTATACTCTGTGCTGCCAGGGTTTTTCTCAAGGTTCTCCGGCTTTCCTTCCTCCTCAAAAATCAAATCCTAAATTCCAATTCGATCATAGAACGAGGGCCACAGGTTTGTTGCCACTGGCTATTAAGTTCCACCCTCATAAAATAAGGACGATTTATTTATAGTTTTATCTTGTTATTTGTTTATTTATTTTTAATTGAATTGAATTACCTGTTAACCTTAAGTACGAAGGAAATGTGTGCAGAGCAGGGCGGAATAAGGGAGAGTCCCTCTTTCGGCCCTGGTGCGGAAACAGGAAACATTTCAGATTGAGTTCCACTCGGATGGGAAACACACAGCCGGCTTGACTTCCCACAGAGTCTTTTACTCGCTAGTCTAATGACCATTCGTTTGTTAGGGATAGACTGTAGAATAATATGCATTTTGGTTCTTTTATCAGTCATCTTTGTTAGTTGATATTGTCACCGGGGTTTCGGAAGTTCATTTATTGTGTAGACGAATCGATTTTCAACAGCTCTTCCTTTCGTCACATGCTTTTTGTTATGCTGTTGATGTAAAACACTACATAACTAGCTTTTGACAAAGCAACCCGAATTGTATACTTGAAAAAGTAAAATATGCTATTTAAGTCAGAAACCGTGAACACTTTTAAGTCTAGACTTAAAACGTATTAATTATTCACTATATTTTCTTTTCTTCTTCTCAATTTAGTTTTTAACTTTTGTAAAGAACAAAGGATTAATATATCAAAAGGAAAATTATTCTGTCTGTGATCCCTGGCATTCCCGTAGCTAGCTTCTAATGCATTGTTTCTTTATTTCCTTTTATACTTTTCCACAGCAGCTGGAGCAACCACAGGTTAGTCAAAGGTTTAAAAAAAGTTCATTTTCCACTGAAATACTCAAATATATTCCCGACCTCCCTGGATATATTTGGTGTAGTATTCAATTGCCCTATTTCACTATGACGTCACATCAAAATAATCTATTGTTTGAACGCAAAGGATCATGGTCGTCGTCGGAGGTCAAATCAACGCAAATTCACCGAAAATTGTTCTAAAACCCGTATCAATCCACGAAGAGAAGTAGAATAGCCAGCAAACACTCAGAATATTTTTTTAGTACATATCAACACATATTATATCTGAAAACCAGGCTATTTTAGATTAAACTGTTTCGCTAGGAGCAAATTTTGTTGAATTTTCTATTGGATTTGGCTGACTACTTTTGAACGTCCGATTTGAACCCACGATGTGCACGTGCTCAAAAACCGCTGAATAATCTTCACGAATTTATTGAAGAACCATACACGTTTTGAACTTTAAGAGGGCAAAACCCTCAAATTTTGTACGGTACTCTTATGTTTTTTATCAGCTTGTTCGAAAAAAATTCCTAAAAATCTAGCTTGTATTCATTTTTTTAGGAACAGTTGATTTTTCTAACACATGAAAAAATAAATTTTTGTAGGGATTTCAGTGTTCGACTGTGAGAGTTTTTGAGAGCATTGTAAGGAAAATATGAAAAATCGATGTGTTTCTTTGCAAATATCCACTTATTATTGTAGAAAAATACACTAGCCGTCGTTTGTGCAATCTAAGGGATGGACCATTAGATAATTGAGGGGGAGGGGAGGGGGGTTTGAAGGAATTTTGGTTGCATGATTTTTTTTGGATCAACCCTTGCACACTATCAACTCCTATCTGTGAGTCAGGCATGCCCTGACTTAGATCAGCCCAGAGGTTGTTTCAGGGTTCTGTCTGTGAGTTAGCAATGCCCTGACTTAGATCAGCCCAGAGGTTGTTTCAGGGTTCTATTTGTGTTATTTCTGATCTAGATTATGATGTGACATTAAAAGAAAATAGTTCGTCGATTTCACACGTATTGGTCACGCAGAAAAGGATCGAAGGATTCACGTTCTGCTTGTGGTTCCGCCTCTTTGAGAAGAAAGGACAACGTGTAATCGTTTCATTGGAAGAAGTAAACAGCACTACTAACAACTCTATATCTCTTGTCTACCACGACCCGAACGTCCTGCAGCTTCACTTTACTAACCAAAGTGTGTAAGTATCACGTCTTGTTTAGTCTTGTCGATGATTATTAGTCTCTTGGGTCTGAACAATTCCTAATACATACAGTGGTGGTTTACTCCAGGTAATACTGAACGTGCCATACATTCACCGTCTTTCTATTTCACATTTGTCTGATGCATCACTTAACTGGGTATTGTTTATCCTGATAACTGTTTAAGTTTACTCCAGGTAATACCATGCCATAAATTCCCTGTCTTTATATTTTACTTTCTATTKTCCCTAGAAATGTGTCTGTTCCTGAGCTGTTTACTGGTGAATGGCACCACACTTGCGCTGCCTGGAATACAACCCATGGAAGATGGATGGTGATGGTAGACGGTGAAATACAACAATCTTGTAATGGATTGAGCAATTATTCGTCTCTAGAAAATTATCTGACGGTTAACCTCGGGAAAAGAAGCTATTCATCCTCGACGTCTCAAGCGATCGATGAATCATTCAGAGGACAAATGAGCAGCTTTTACTTCTGGGAATATGAAATACTCATTCGTGATATGAGGCAAATGTTTAAAGTGTGCCAACCACAGCATGACACCAAATCTACACTTGGATGGGATTCATTTTGGGGAAACATGGGACCAAATGCATCGACACCATCACGATGCCACAAAAAACGTAAGCTTTGACTTTCATTATTTATGTATTTTTAAAAGTCTTAAGCAAACAACGACACTTTTGATATTTGGCAGTTTTAAACCAAGCATGTTTCGGCAGGTTTGACTGCCATCATATTTTTATTTTCTCTCCTATCAACATTTATCAGTGTTATATCCAACACCCATTTTTCAAAATTGCCTAAATGCTCAAGAATCAGAAAGTGTGATCCAGCTGAGTTGCTTGGTATATAGTTTGYACGCTAATGCTAAGGAGGGGTAGAGTGGGGCTAACAATGCATGGGACGGAGCTAAAAGGAAATTTGATAGGTATGACTAAGTAACTGTGATGATCTTTTGTTTTATTATCAAAACCAAATAAATGCTTCCCTCTACTATTGGTGTGTTAGCGAATCATTTCAGTTCGCGCATGCTCACAGGATCCGTGAATCTGGACCCTTTACTGAATACCATGGAAGAAAAGCATGATTAAAGACTAAACCTGTCACCATTCTACCAGCACTTTGTGTGACAGAGGTGGGGGTTTGTAAGAGGGAGCTGGTAACTAAATTTGTTCTCTATAGATGGTGTAGGGGTTATTTTTATATCTAATATTAAGCTACTTAGATTTTCAACCCTCTCTCCTTAAGAATTGCTTGACCCTTATATCAAACATTCAGTTGTGTTGGTCTTGGCTAGTCGAGGTCATCGCTACTATGGGTAAGTATGTGACAAGGCTATTTGTTCAAAACGCCCTAAATCCTTGCAATTTTCTCTTCTAGTTAACTTGGC